CATCCAGCCCAACGACGGCCCGGTCTTCTTCAAGGTGGATGGGCAGCGCTTCGGCCAGAACCGCACCATCAAGCTGCTCACGGGCTCCTCCTACAAGGTGGAGGTGAAGATTAAGCCCACCACGCTGCAAGTCCAGTGAGTGCGGGCCCGGGAGGGGGGCCGACGCCGGGACGCCCCGCTGCAGGGCACCCCAGAGGGCGGACCGAGATCTCCCCCCTCCCCCCCGGGACGCGCCCAGCCGGGCGCCGCGACCTGCGGGCCCCGGGGAAGCCGTCGGCTCCCTGCGTCCCCGCCTCTCCTCCCGCCACACGGCCGTTCTCGCTTCTTCCCAGCCTTCGCCCTGATCGCAGCGGGTCCCTTTAAGACAATGACCACGGGCCCGATTTCCTTCGCTTGCAAATGCTCACCACCACCACCCTCGGTCCAGCTCTTCCCGGGAGGGCTATTTCCCGGGCCCGCGCAGAACCCTGGGCGGCCAGAATGGGGAGGATGGGGAGAACGCCAAGGGCTTCATCTACCGCAATCCCGGCCCCCCGGAGCTGAGCTGTGCGGTGCTGAAGTCCCGCCCTGGGGCTGCGGGAGAGGCTGGAGGAGGGACAAGGGCTGAGGGCTGAGGTGTAAAGGTAGGGGGCGGGGGCGGGTTGGCAATGTTGGTGCACCCTGAGGGACGATCCCCACTCTTCCATCTGCCTTTACGTGGCGGTGCATTCCAGGGCTAAAGGAACAGGCTCAACAAGTCAGGTAGCCCCCTCCTCTGCTCAGGCCTAGGCCCACCGTTTTCCTCGCCTTCTGTTTTGTCATCTCTAAGTTTGTTTAGTGCCTTGGGTTTAGCAGCACCCTGGTCTCAAGGCTTTCTGGCTTGTTCATGTCCTGGGAGGGCGGGGGAGACTCCCTTCTCGGTCGTTGGATGCTACACCCAATAGACATCTGGTGGAAAGCCAGCACGGGGTGTGACTGGGCAATAGACCATAGGTGGGGTCCTGGAGTTGGGGTTCCACCTGAGCGTGGTGTCAAGTGCAGCCTGGAGGGAGGGACTAGACCAACATTTACTGCAGCTACTATATGCTGGGTGTGGGGACTTTGAATCCTTTTATAGCTTCAATGAACTCCTGTATTCATTAACTCAATAAACTTGAGTTAACGTTTTAAGTGCCAAGCTCTAATGGAAGTACCTAGAAACAAACCTTGTGTTTCTGGTACTTCCGGCCCATCTGATTGGACAATCTATGCCCCAGCATCAATCGCCCATCCAGCCAGCTGCATGCACCCCTTATCTCCACATGCCCACATGCCCAGCGTTCTGTACATATGGGTATGAGCCAGGCATTTCCTTTCTTCCCAGCATCCCCTTGTGCCATCTCTTTCATAGCCCATGTTCTTCAAAGCAATTCTGTTTCCATTTGTGTTCATGAGAAAACCCATTTTTCTAGGCACACTTTCATTTTAATCAAGGGGTTTCCAATATCCTCACCCAGTTCTCAAAACTGCCTCCGAATCACTTGGGAGTTTGGGGGAGCTAGCTAAAAGGCAGATTGCTTAACCTCTCCTTCCAAATTTCTAGTATAAGTCCCTCTACGGTCCAAATCCAAATTCACTGCCATCAAGTCGATTTTGACTCAGCAATCTTACAGGAGAGCTGCCCCCGTGGGATTGCGGGACCTTAAATCATTTCAAAACTCCAAACTCGCTGCCCTAGAGTGGATGCCAACTCATAGCAATCGGATAGGGCAGGGTAGAACTGCCTCTGTGAGTTTCAGAGACTAACTGTCTACGGGAGTAGAAAGTGCAGTCTCTCTGGAGAAACTCTGGTGGTTTTCTGTTGCTGGCCTTGCGGTTAGCCGGCCAATGTGTAACCACCCTGCCACCAGGGCTCCTTGAGAGGAGTAGAAAGCCTCATCTTTCTGCCGCCGAGTGGCTGGTGGGTTCCTATCCCTGGCCTTGTGCTCAGCAGCTTAGTGCACAGCCCACTACTCCATCTCTAGGGCAGGGCCTGGGAAGCTGCATTCCTGAAAGAGTTGTAGGTGCTGCTGATGCTGCTAGTCGAAAGGTTTCCTCTTGAAACCCAGTGCCCTGGCCCAAATTTTGAACTAGTTGATTCCAGTTTGATCACCTGTTGACAATTTATTTGCCTTTCCACCTCAGACACAACATGCTGAATCAAAATCTACATGTTAACAAGATCCCCAGGAGGTTCTTAGAAATTCTGAGGTCATCCTACCTGCACTTCAGTATATATGCATCAATGCCCAAAGCATTTGAATTTCTGTTTTGGGGGCTTCCAATGGGACTGGACAATGTTGGGTTTTTTGTTTTGTTTTATTTTTCTGATAGGGGTTTGTTTTTGGTTTTTTCAAACAGCCTCGGGGATTATTTTAATGAGTAATTAGAGAGGAGACCCATACTGTGACCTTTTACAGGTATTCCAGATAAGATTCCTGAGGGTTGGTCTGAGGTCAAATAGCTGACTAGAAGGAGGTTTAGTTGTGACCTCCAACCTTTCAGGATTACTTCTACCACATCACAATCTCAGCGGAACACCTGTCTGGCGTTGTGGCCCAGGATAGCATGCTTAAGCTTAGTCCTACCACCTGTGCTCAACTCCTATCTCTTGCAGGAGCATTTCCATTGGGGGCACTCTTGTTCCCCTGGAGCTGAAGTCTAAAGAACCTGATGGAGACAGAATTGTTTACACCGGCATATACGACACAGAAGGGGTGACCCCAACCAAGAGTGGAGAGCGGCAGCCCATCCAGATCACCATGCCGGTAAGGCCTGGGCAGGGGAGTGGGCACGCAGAGCCGAGCAAATGGAAACCAAGAGAAAGAGCGAGAGCAGTGTCTCCCTTGAAGAAAAGCGAGAGCCCACTACCTTCGAGTCAGTTCTGCCTCAGGGTGACCCTGTGTGTCTCAGTAGAGTTATGTTCTAAAGGATTTGCCATGGTTACCCCGCCTCTCTTCAAAGGCCCCTCTGGGTGGACTCAAACCTGCAACCTTTCAGTGAGCAGCTGAGCACATCAGCACATTACCGCCCAGGTACTCCAAGAAGTGGTGCAATAGTTTCCTTTGTGGATCTGCTGGAGAAGGAGCTGTCTGATAAATGCTCCTGTGCTTTACAAGCAACCCTATAGATGCTGAGAGATGCCCGTATGAAGAGCAGCAGGTAGTTCTGAGAGAGAATATTTGCTGTACCAGGACGGGCTCTCTAACTACAAAGTCTTTGACCTTAAATAGCCCATAGCCTTTCAGTCAGGGGAAAGCTGATTTGAATAACAGCTTGCCATTTACATCTACACTAAATAGATGTGCTCTTAATAGCTAGTCCTATCAAAGTACGTCAGAATAACATATTTTTTAAATCATTTTATTAGGGGCTCATACAACTTTTATCACAATCCATATATACGTCAGTTGTGTAAAGCACATTTGTACATTCATCGCCCTCATCATTCTCAAAACACTTGCTCTCCACTTAAGCCCCTGGCATCAGGTCCTCATTTTTCCCCTCCCTCCCTCCCCGCTGCCCACTCCCTCATGAGCCCTTGATAATTTATAAATTATTATTTTGTCATATCTTGCCCTGTCCGACGTCTCCCTTCACCCACTTTTCTGTTGTCCGTCCCCCAGGGAGGAGGTCACATGTAGATTCTTGTAATCAGTTCCCCCCTTTCCAAACCACTCTCCCTCTATGCTCCCACAGAATAACAATATTTCTAGCCAGATAATATTGGCCCTAAAGTAGGAAACAAATCGCTCTGAAAATAGGGTAGCACTTTTCCTCTGCAAGGTCAGCCTCAAATGGTCTGTCCTCTGGCTTTAGAGGGAAGATCACAGAGGCTCTCAAATATCACGTGCATAGGAGATTCCATGGAGTTTGCTTAAAGTGCCAGTCTTGGTCTTGCTTCAGGTGATTGGTGGTCAGTGAGCTACTGAGGTGAGACCTAAGAAACTGAAGCTTTAAGAAACCTACCAGGTGATCCTGGTTGAGACAACCCATGAACCATACTTTGAGAAACACTGATCAAACAGAGCTATCTCCATCGTACCTGCCTAGTCCTTTTTCACAATGCCCAGCATACTTAATTGCAGGCAGTAACAAATAATCTAGTCCATCAATCCTTTTACATCCCATATTGGAGCTGTTTTGGAAAAGCCCTATCTTCAAAGAACATTTATCAGGAACAATATATATATATAGCAATGGGGAAACTATGGGATGATTGTAAACTGGTTAAGAAAAGTGTTTCTACATATACTGCACGCACACACCCTTTTCTTCTACTGATGTCTATCTTTGAATGTCAGAGCCACAGCCAGAACACCATTTACACAGCCTTCATGGATGCATCATTCTGTGCATGTGTGCAGCTGTCCACAGCTCCTGCTGGTGGTCATTTCTGTGTGTCAGCCTCACGAAGGAAGCAGTAGCCATCACTTCACACCTGTCTGCTATTTAAGTACTGTCCAATAGACCTCCTGAAAGATGAGAGAAGTGATGCTTTCAGAATCTTTTTTGAAAGATTCTTTCAATCTTTCCCCTCCCTCCCCTCCTCTCTCTCTCTCTCCATTAGGTATAATTAGTTACCTTTAAGTAGTTCTCATCTGGTCGGCAGGATATTTAATTGTGTACGCCTTTAATTGCTGTTCATCTGAAATACCAACATGTTCATTTACCATTGGTAGTTCTTTTCTGGATTACATGCTCTTGGCCATATTTTTTATTGACGTGCATCTTGATGGATTTTTAAAACCCTGACAAATTAAAAAGTTCATCTCTTTTATCTCATCTTGAAAGTGTATTCATCATTGATTACTTGACTTTTAAACCTGTTTACAATATAGCTTTATGTATTTTATGCAGTACGACATAATCTTTTCCTGTGTGGTGTTTGCGATGTGGATCCAACTCAAAATGTCTTTCCTAACTACCCAGATGGCGTATGTTTATAGCCAGTTGGGCATTTTTATCTGAACTCTTGTGGTCTCATTTGTTAATATTTACATTCTTCATTAACCTGAAATGTATGCACTTCTTGGTTTCACATTGAGAGCCGCAATGCCCCGATACAAATGAATGTAATCATCTATGCTTCTCTAATAGTCTTCGATTTTCATAGTAACTTCTTCAACATAAACCAAACTCATTGACATCGAGTAGATTCCGACTCATAGCGACCCTATAGAACAGGAGGGTGGAACTGCCCCCATGGGTTTCTGAGACTGTAACTCTTTATAAGGAGCAGAGAGCCTCATCTCTCTCCCACAGAGTGGCTGCTGGTCTCAAACTGCTAAAGTTAGCAGCCCAACGTGAACCACTATTTTATTTATTTTTATTATTATTATTTTTTATAACTCAGTCTTTTTATTTTTAATTCTTTTTAATTTTTTAAAACATTTTATTAGGGGTTCATACAACTGTTATCGCAATCCATACACACATCAATTGTGTAAAGCGCATTTGTACATCATTCTCAAAACATTTTC